AAAATGGCCCAAAGACACCCTCCGAAGCATTCCGAATCGCGTTTCGGTCGTTCAGGGAGACGGCGGTTGGAGGCAGGGTGGCCCGAGAAAGCCCCCAGGGGCCCCTAGAATAAGCCCAGGAGGCCTCCAGAAGGCGTTAGGAAAGCTTGAAACAACTTTTGCGAGGCCCCTAGAGGCTCTCCAAGGAGGAGCCCCCGCAAAAAGAGCTGAGGAGGATGGGGAGAATGCGCAGGGCATGGCGAAAATGAGGAACAATGAGCATGGAGGAAGGATAACGAATTACATCATTATAGCGGCAATGCCAGAAAAGGCAATCAGGAGTTATCGCTAAATTGTCGGCTTGGCCTTGCTCCCATTCCGCCTGCATGCCAAACTTCAAGGACCAAGGTGCATGGCGCGAAGCGCCACTGCAGTCTTGTATATATATATATACACACAAATATGTGTATATATATTTGTATATATATATAAACTGAATTCCTCCGCCAGCTGATCCATGTCACGGGGTAGCGTTGTTCTCATCAGAAAGTCTGCGAACGCACATCCAGCAACGATTGCGCGCGTCGGCCGCGCAACCTTCCCAGGAATGCCCCGAACAGAAATGAAGCGAGGACCAAGATATAGCTCGATGAAAAGGCGTGACAGAACAGGATTGACGCCCAACTCTAGAGCCCGTGGAACGAACATATGGTGCACGACACTCTCGAAGGCCTCCTCTGAGTCTAATAGAAGAGCCAGACACGACCAACCGCGAGCGCGCGCTAGCACCGCCATGACAGACTGCTTCCGGACGCACGCCATACAAGAGCGACCACGGACAACGTGCAAATATGGTCGCGACATGTCCGTTGCACATCGGGCGCCCGCAGCACGCCGATACCATCGCGTCATAATCCGAATGCTCGCGGCGAAACATGCGACGGGGCGACCCCCGCCAACTTTATTCGGCGGCAAGGACAAGACAATGCTCGACAACTGTCGGGGGGACGCCCCAGCAAAAACATCAACCTCCACGGGGGAGTTAACTCAATCAGAGCTGCATCGCTTAATTCGCAAATGTGCCGAGGGCGCAACCAATCGATGCCAATTGAAGTTCTCTCGCGATGCTTCGACGAAAACATTCGAAGCTGAACGGAAGTAGGAAGAACCAATGCGTCCAGATCCCGCCGGGAAACACGCGGAAATTCTGGATGTACAGAGGGCCGCCCAACGCCCCGAATGGGATGCCAGAACCTCTGGCGACACAAAATCTCATGCATGGAGGTTCCTCGGTCTGCTCGGGGGCGACCTGGAACTCCAACCAAAAGTCATCCCCACGAATGAAGCGGAACGCAGTGGAAGAACCTGCGGCGGCGTCTTCAGTTGCCCACTCGCACCAATGCTTATGACAGTCCTTGACTGCAGACTCCTCCAAGGTATGGGCCTTGATATTAAGATCGCGCCAAGCATCGCGAATACCTTGCAACGGCATGTCAGGAAGAAAACGCACAGACTCCACCAATGCTGGCCAATCATCGGGAGGCCGGCCTTCGCGTGAGGGAGGCTTATCCCGACGAAATGTGTTAGCATGCGAATAAAAATTTCGCGAGGCACGCCTCTCTCACGAAACTGGATGAGGCGCTCCAGACGCATAGCCAAATGTCGCCATCGCCGGGCATGGTAACCAGCAGTAGGACGGGCATGACAAAGGAAACGAGCGGGCACCATCACGAAAGATACGTCCTGTCCCCAGTGGGACTGCAGAGCAGGATCCATCTGATGAAGAGACGGCAATTCTCCAGCGGCACGCTCTAACCATACAAACATGAGATGGTCCAAGTCTGCTGTCTCGTCGAATTCGGCATGAAAATCTTCATACCCAGGTGGCGGCAAATTGCAGCCCTGAAAAATATAAACTGGAATGTTGGGTGGCTTCCGGATTGTCCGCACCAGTCGCCGCTGAAAACTGGAGTGGACTGACAAAACCACGGGCTGGTGCTTAGATATGGCCGTGGTGTGAAAAAAACTCAGAAGAGACGTCATGAGCAAGAACAGGATGAACAGCGAAGAAGTCAATCAGCGCGGACGTGTCGCCCGAAACGTACGTAGGCACGGCAGGGGCCACAATGACACAATCCACAGCAGCCTATCCGACGTAGCTCGGCTGGCGACATCTGCCAATCACCACCTATAACGCATGGAGTCTTAGTGACCGTGAGGGCGGCAGCCAACTTGAACAAGACGTCGCGGTTGGCCTCTTTAGCATCTGAGCTCCCACCAAAAAGTAAATACACACTGTACAACATAATGCACAAAGGTGCGACTCGAAGCCAAGACGTAGCTATGCAACGCTCTGGGGCAGGGACATCTTCCAAGGGAACGGTGTACTGGCGCAGTGCGGTCGCCCACTTACACATGACACAAACGCCTGCGAACAAGCCTCCGGACTCAGTAAGCACAGAAGGATGAAGAGCAGATCGGTAGCCCACCTGATGCTCCTGGTGATGCGGATCATTCAAGGCACCAGGTGGCGTCAAAACTCGTAGCACCGAGCAGGCCAGGGCAGCGAGTCCAGGTAGTAACATTAGCAGTGGCCACTCGCCAAGGTCGATGATGTTTAAGACGACGACTCCGCTTAGACTCAGGAGGTGCCGAACTCAAAGTAGACGGCAAGTCCTGAGAGGAATTTTCAGGGGGAAAAACTTGTATTGGTACAGGGGCCGGGGCACTGAGAACCCCAGGCTCAGGGCTACCCGTCCGACCCTCGCGACCGCACACCGCGCGAAGCGGCGGAGGCAGCACGAGGAAGCTCCCGATGGGCACGGGATTGGCCAGATTGGCCTTCGACGGGCCCGTGATTGGCCCTCCAAGCGTCCCAGTCCATAATGTCTGGATCGAACTCCTCGTCACAAGGATCCTGCTGATCGATATGAACATGATCAGACCACGAATAGCCACGAGAACCCCCCGACAAGGGCCTGGGCGGGCGAGGGGCCGCTTTTGAATGGGCGTGCCTGACACTGGATGGATATTCCCTGCCTCCTGCTGGCGATTCAGACAAGTGCTCCAGCGCCTGAACGACATGGGGCAAGCTGAGGATGTCCCAGGGGATGGCCGATTTGAGGCAATCCACGGCTTCCTGAGAGGAAGCAATTTGGGCAGCAGCCTGTACATCTGGATCGAGCGCAGCCTCCTGTGCTCGCCAATCCTGCAGGGCCGACTCCAAGCGCTGGCGGCGCGAGAAGATTATCCTTCTTGTCCAGGACGGAGTTACGCTGCTCCTGCACGTCGCCCAGATGCCCATCAAGCTTCTCGAGCTTAGTAGTGTTCCAGCGGATGTGACTAGACACCTGCGGCCGACGCTGAGCTGGGGTGAGCATGCCATACTTATCCTGCTTGCCCCTGCCCCTGTCAATGGCGTGACGTAAGTGCTCGAGCTCCTCGGAGACCGGCATCCTCCAGGATAGGTTTTGTAGCTGCTGAGCGTAGCGCATACGTGCATGCAACAGCATGTCCACATGATGCAGGTCTTGCCGATGAACACCGCTGCCACCAATACTGACATCACCATCATCACCGTCACCAGCCACAGGCGCGTGATCTTCGAGATCATCACCTCATAGGCCGTCACGCTGCTGAACCGAATGCTCAGGGTCAGAAGTGCCGAATGTCTTCCGGCGCCCAGGAAAAGGCCGATCACAACATTTGCAGCAAGCCCGAGGATTGGACACGTAGATCCAACTGCCAGCACACCGCCTGCAGACAAGATAGCGCTCATCAGAAGAGCGCCCCATGGGAAGAACCAGCGTCCTGCGAGTGGCTGAATGGTGCAGCCGAGGGGGCAGGATCAAAATAGGTCGACTGACGACCAAATCATAAGCCTTCGAGCAAATGGGTACGGACGCCCAAAACCCACGAGCTCCCCGAGGAGGGACGTGGGGCTTGAGCCAAAATGGCTAAGGGTGTGCGGCAGGAGACGCTGACACCTGTCGGCGGGACACAGGCTGCACAACGCAACTCGCTGCGTCGCCCACTAGGGGAACCGGCGGACCGTGTGCTGCGGAAAAACCTTTGCCAGGTCGCGTCCCTGGCAAAGCGGGGAGCCACCGGCAAAAAGAACCCCGGCGCCGGATCTCCGTTGCTGCGTGCAGTCGCCACCCGCTGAGACATTGAACAGCAGGGCTCCATGCAAACGAGTTTGTGTCGTGGCTGCACCCTCCTAGGGAGCCCACAAAGGACGTACGCGCCCAACCATGTACATGAACGCGGCCCCTCGATCCGCGCGACCGGCCGCGTTATACAAACATTTGCGCAATGCGTACCCTCGAAACCAGCGTGGATTCATATACGTGTACGTCCTTATTTCGCTCCTGACTTTAGAGGCCTCCTAGATGGGGTCGGGGTAGATGGGGTCGGGGGATCGCGCGCAAGATCGCCGATACGTCGGCGACGCATCGGCGATGCAAAGATCCCCCGCCTCGAGGCCCCCGACTCGTTTCCCCCCCGCGCTCGCCGGCGAGAGAGCGCCCCCGCGGAGATGCCCGCAGCGCGCGGAGCCAGCCGCGCGGTGGGGGCGGGGGGGGGGCGGAGAGCGCGCGCGCGGCAGAGGGCAGCGAGTGCTACGCAGGCAGACTCGGGCAGCGGCCTGCCCGAGGGAGGGAAGGGGAGGGGGGGAGGGGGGAGGGGGGGAGGGGGGGAGGAGGGGAGGAGGGGAAGAAGGGGAGGGGGGGACGGGGGGAGAGGGGGGAGGCAAGGAGGGGGAGGCGGGTGGAAGGAGGGAGGAGAGCGGGGGAAGGACGACCCAGACGCCCGACGATGCGATCTTTTCAGCCCGCGGCCCCAGAGGTCTCGACCACTTCCCAGGGGGAATCTTCGCCCTGGGTCCAGCGGTCATGGCCCCGGGGCCCGAAGACGGCCCCGAGAAGCCGGAGTGACGGAAAAGCGTCTGCGGCGAAATGAGGCACTCCGTCGGATGACCGGGCGTCCGGGGGAGGGGCGCGCGATGGCCCCAGCACGAACGCGTCTCCAGAACAGGGCGTCCAGCGGCGCCGTGCCCAGATCCTGGATGGACTCGGCCAACAGGCGCCCGCCTTTGAAGCCGTCGGAGTAGAAGTTCATCGCGTGCCCGATGGTTCCACAACGCGAGCAGCGCCTGGGCGGCCGGGGCTGGGTCGGGCCGGCAAACTCGACTTCGGGGGGACTCGAGTTCGCCTCACAGGGCAACCAAAACGGTTGCCAGCTTGGACCCCACACAGGAGAAGTGATTGCACTTAGGAAATGTGAGCTGTGTGGTGCAAGCTATATGCGGTGTAAGTTCTGTGGTGCCGTGTAGGCGGCGCAAGCTATGTGGTGCAAGCTGCGTGGTGCATGTCGTGTGGTGCAAGGTGTGCCGCAAGCTGTGCGGTGAAAGCCACGTGGTGTCACGCATGCCGTGCCAGCCGTGCGGCGTCAGCTGCGCGATGCCGGCTGCGTGCTGCCAGCCCTGCGGCATCAGAGACAGTGCAGCGCAGGCTGCGCGGCCGCCACTCGCGCGTGGGCGCCCACGGGCGGACACCCCATTGGCACACCCACCCAGCGCACGAGGCCCCCCACGGGCGGGCACCGGGCAGACCCTCGGCGCAGCCACGCGGCACCCACGAGGCGCCCACGAGGCGCCCACGAGGCGCCCACGAGGCGCCCACCGGCCGGGGACCGGGCGAGACTGCGGGAGGGCACCAGCCGGATACCCGGCAGACCCAACCAGTTGTCTGAAAGTGAGTCAAATCAGAACCTTTCAGTGCAAGCATTGTTTGGGGAAGTAGCTCCTAGTATTGGGTATCTCGGTACACCCGTCCGACTCCTCAACCAGCAAGAGCCCCCGGGGACGAGCACTGCTTCGGGAAGAATGGCGAGGACCTGGTCTTAAATCTGACGCGAGCTCCCGCTGCAAGCATCTCATGGAACCTGCACCGTCGAAATGCATGCCGCGGCTGGCAAAAGCGGCGCAGCGAGGCGGGGGAAGACTGGACTGGCCGGCCTCCAGGGGGGGTGGGGGTGGGAGGAGAACGACGTCATGATACAATTGGCCCAGGATACGTTCCAGGGAGTTCGTTGTATAATGCGTATACTCGATTGTGCAATCCGTGTGGATCCTTAGGAACTCGTGGAAGTCTCGAATATCATGGAACGTATCATCACCATGACCTCTTGCTCATCTGTGGAGGGAAGGGGAGCAGGGTGAGGAGGGCAAGCGGGCGAGAGAGACGCCGTGCGGCCAAGTAGAGCCGAGCCCTCTGTGCGCGGGGGGATGCGGGAGGGGGGCGGGGCCACAGCCCTCTGAACTTTGAGGAGGTCGCGCAGCAGCGGATACCAATGCTCCGGCTTGCCTGTGGTTTGCGCAATACAGGCGGGACGCCGTGGCGTCGCCCGGTGGAACGGCTAGATGAGAATGCCTTCGGGTCGGTGGGTTCTATTAGATCGGGTGGGACGAAACTGCGGGATTCAGCTACATGCAGCTGGTTCGCCGAAGACTCTGGGCGCTGGGCGCCGAGAGCGATCATGCATCGAGGGAAGTACAGAGTGTCGGGTTACGGGGCCAGGGATGACGCGAATGACAAGGTTGAGACAAAAAGGAGGGAGGAGCGCAGGAAGCAGTGGAATAGGAACGATGAGAAGCAGGAGGGCGATGACGATGAGGGGAAAAGGAGTGGGATTGGGAAGAGGGCGGGGAAGGTGAAGAGGAAGATGTGCAGAAAAAAAATGCACTGAATGGCAGGAAGCAGAGGAGTAGGATGGGGAGGTCGAAGGGGCGTGCGGGAAGAAATCGGACGACGACGAGGACGCTCCAGAATTTGGGGATGAGAAGATGGACAAAGAGAAGGACGAGGAGGAATAAGGGAAAGAAGAAATCAGTGTAAGACGGAATGGACCAGAGGAGAAGGAGAAGGAGGCGAAGGAAGCTGAAAGCAGAAAAGCTGCAGCAGCAGCAGCAGCATACAAGTCAGGCACCCGATCGCGTGAAGATACTCAGTGACATTCCTGCTCATGTTGAACTGCACGACGTGCGTGAGGCCAGGGATGTCGATGCCCCGCGCGAAGTTTGGCTGAAGGGTCAGACAAAAGACGGCGTGGACGGTATCGCGGGCCAGAGACTGGGAACGACTCCGATCACGCTGCCTCAGCAGGGCACTGGCAAGCCTCCTCGACCGAACGTGGACCGCTCTCCCACCTCCCTCCTGCAGCCTCCCTCCTCCCTCTCCCCACCTCCAACCTCCTACTTTCCACTCTCCGTGAGTGACCACCCAGCTCCGTCTGCTCCTCCTCATCATCTCTGTCTTCCTTCCCTCTCCCCGCCGACACCATCGTGCAGATGGCCGACTTCGGGCCGACTTCGGAGAAGTTAGCGCCACTGACATGGCGAGTCTCTTGGCGGACATTCCACGGCCGTTCCTCCGCCTGCCCATCCCCCTCTCCTACCCCCTCTCGGGTCGGGCGCAAGGGGGATGGCAAAGGAGGGAAGAGGGGCAACGGCAGGGCGGGACTGGCATAGGTGGGGAACAGCGACCTGGAATCGGCGACACATCGCCAGTAGATCACGTGGGCTACCGACAGCGAATCCGCACCCTCCTGGGCGGAGCGGGGCCATCGGGACCCTATCGGCGATCAATGGGCAACTGGGAGCCGATGCATCCCCCCCTACACCCCCCATCGTTGTCCCCGAGGGTTGGGGGGGGAGGGGGCGAATCGGCTCGCACAATTAGCTGATTTTCCCGGCGCCTCCCGGCGCCAGGAGGCGCCAACCGAGGAGAGGCGCCTGGCGGCGTGGGCTGCATGCAGCATGCAGCAGACTCCGCCCCCCCCCCTCCCAAACGACCCACTCGTCCGACCCGACCCTCCCTCTGCTCGGCGGCAAGCCCGGGGGGAGGTGAGAAAAGGCGGGCCTTCTCACTCGGGATCTACCAACCCAGGTCAATTCAGACCCGGGTCAGTTAGGCTTTACAGGAGCCTGAAAGATCCTGCGCGATCCTGCAGGATCCTGCAAGATCCTGCACCCAAACCCAGATCAGTGCAACCTCTGCAGGATCCTGCAATATCCGGCGTTCTGACTGATACGTTGACCCCGGTCTCTTGAGCCCACCCTCACAAGGCTTGGAAGTCCCATGGCCTTCTGAGGAAGTTTCTGTGAGCCTCCCCCGAAGACACGAAAGACCTACTACGAGAAGGCGCGAGGACTTCCGAGAAGCCCCGCCGCCTTCTGAGAGAGCCTTGTCCTTCTCACTTCCCCCCCTCGCTCGCCGCCGATCCCGCTTTCGTTCCCCCGCGGGTCGGCTGCACTCACGAGTGACCCGCGGCAAGCAATACCTCTGGTGCGCGACTTCACTGCGGGACGCGGGGGTGGCGAAACCCGGGCGCGCAAGCCGCTGCTACCGCTCCACCTTCCGCGGTCGAAGAGGAGGAGGAGGAGGAGGAGGAGGAGGAGGAGGAGGAGGAGGAGGGGACCCCATTAGGCGCGCACTTCAGGTTACTCCAGCGAAAGGTCACTCTCACACGCAGTCGATCGGGTCGCCACGCACTTCCCTGGCTGGCTTAGGGCAGAGACGGGTGCGGAGGCCTCCTGCTCGCTCTGCCACGGTCTCTGCCTCGGGGCCTCCCCATATCCCCTCTCGCCCTCCCCCCTTCGGGTCCCCCCTCTCTCTCCCTCGGCATCCCTGAAGCACCTCCAACAGGAGGAGCGAGGAGGAGGAGGAGGAAGAGGAGCGAGGAGGAGGGAGAGAACGTGGGAGGAGGACGTGGGAGGAGGACGTGGGAGAAGGAGAGGGAGGAGGAGGAAGAGGAGGAGGAGGAGGAGGAGGAGGAGGAGGAGGGGGAGGAGGGGGAGGACGAGCAAGAGCGAGGAGGCAGGACGGAAGAGGACGGAGGATGATGGCGAGGAGAGGGATGGGGGAGGAGGACAAGGAGAAGGAAGACGGCGCGGAGGAGCGGGAGGTGGAAGACGACGAGGACAAGGGGGAGGGAGGAGGGCAAGGAGGAGAAGGAGGAGGGCAAGGAGGAGAAGGAGGAGGAGGAGGAGGCGGAGGAGGAAGAAAAAGAAGCAGACAACGAGAATAAGGGTGAGAATTTTGCGCTCCCTTTCCCCTTCGCTTTCGCCACCGCTCTCCCCCTCCCCCCGTCCCTGGCCAGCCCGGAGTGGCCGAGGAGGGGAAGCCAGGCCCACGGGCCCGCTTTTCACCACGAGGGCAGCGGGTCCGGAGGGGAACAGGTCCCCCGGGGCCTTCTCCCAAGTGGAGGGTTTCTCCGAGGGGCTTAGGCGACCCATCCTCCTACTCCTCCTCCATCTCCTGATGCCCCATCTCCTCCTCCCCTTCCTCCTCCTCCTCCTCCTCCACTTCCTCTTCCTCCTCCTCCTCCTCCTCCTTCTCCTCCTCCTCCTCCTCCTCCTCCTCCTCTTCGGGTCGCCTGCGGCCCCGGGGGAAACCGTGCACTCCCAAGATCAAAACGCAATCCTGAGTCGTCTCTTGACGGTCCGGGGACCCGTGGAGCGCCCGAACACGACGGAAGACCTCCTGGACCCGTGTCCCTCAAGACCCCCTCGCTTCACGGGGACACTTTGCGGCCCGCTGAGACCGTCGCGATCATCAGCCGAATCTCCCCGTCGCGGAACTTGTGATAGTTCTCGCGCCGCTGATCCTTTCGGGGGGGACGAAAGGGAAGGGTAGAGAATCTCACGTTGCTGGTTTTCCTGGGGACTCCTGGCGACGAGAGGCGCCCCCGTATCGAGAAAGGGGCCCGGCAGCGGGGCCGAGACCAGCTGCATGCAGCAGACTTCGTACCCC